TCTTTCAACTTCCTATGTGGGATAAAGTTCACACACTTGATTTTAAATTTCAGGATTTTTACTTTCAAGTTGCCAACTTCTAGTATTAATTTCTCATTCATCCGGAAATGGTTTTGTGAAATCAAATATATCACGAATATCTACGCGCGGAATAGAATGAGTTTGCCCATTGACCCACACAAAATGGATACCGGGTCCCACCCTGATTATTGGTCAAACTTGACCCATTTCCAACTGTACATCAATCATTCATGATGGTTGCTACGATCATTCTGTGTTTGTGTTCTTGTTTCTCTCCCGTGAGCCTTAAGGAGATCAACGCCAAGAAAGATATTGAGAAAATTCATTCCCGCCATTCCGAGGAAAGCAAGTGGGAGCTCGACTCCCTTCCCGAACTTTGAAGAATCTTGGAGTAGCTTGATTGTGATGAGAACATGAGACGTGAATCTTGCGAACACAAAGGTCAACCAGTTAAGAATCCATTCTATCTTCACAATCGTGCACCGGGCATCACGAACGCCAGCCATTCGTCTCACTTTTCGGATGTGCAGAAAAATCGAGTGTACCTGTAGGAAACAAGAATGGAGGCATCAGGAACAAGAAGATTGAACAAAAAACTATTACATGCCATGAACATATTTATCTAGAAATGAGTAGTGCTACATTCTTATCTTGGACCATTGTTTGTATGCCGACACACACAGGTCATGAAAAACTCAGGAACTTTTGCAAACATGGTTGAAACTGAAAAAGTCGTAGCCCAGTAGGGATGAAAGACATTTTCCAAGAGTTTTTAGAATTTTTAGAATAATCTAATAAAATGATTTATTTCTAAAAAAAATAACAAGAATAGTAAGGATCCATTATTGTAAAAGAGCTCTACAGGAAAGCTTCCTTAATTGAGTCTGAAAATTAATTTTCGAAGATCTTCCTCTTCCAGAATAGCTTTTAAAGGAAGTCGTATTGAGTCAACTCCCTTTTCCAAAATGCTACATGAGATTTCAAGACCCTTTTTCCACTTTTCGAAAAGGTTATCTTGCTACAGCCTACATGTACATAAAGATTTACATAATACTGTATGGACACTCTATCATTTGTCATTTAGAACACAGTCAACTTTTTCATTCAATATTTTCCTTCCGCATTATTTTATATAATCTCTTATGTAACATTTTCTTTTTTGTAAAAGTAGCATAATCGTAGAGACTAACTTGCTATAATTTTTCCTTCAAACCAAATTGATTTCTTTTAATAAAGCTTTCAATACTACGCTTTGAACTTAGCTCAATGCTATTGACATCAAAGTTGCTGGAGCCTCTTAACAGTGTCGGGGAGTTTGAATATTGTTAGAAAGATATAAAATAAACATTAGCCAGTGAGCTCAAGTATCGAAACTATAGCAACCGGCGGTGAATACCACTTTGAAGTCTAACTTAGCTACTTTCGGCTAAAATCAAGCATAATTTCAATATAATTTAGAGAATGCATAAAGCTGTTTGTACATGGGAAAATGTAGGGAAATTGCCCGGTGTGTTGATGTGACGAATTTTGATTGGCTGTTTTAAATTTGTTTTTCTTGCAAACTCCAATGAAAATCCGCCACTTGACATTCTGATAGTTTTCCTAGCATTTTTCCCTATACATGTAGCATTTTTGAAGGTATTTATAGCAGATTAAATAGACCTTGAATTTTTCAACGCGTCATGCCCTTCTTAGCAATAAGCTAGCACTGATAATCATATATTGATTAAAGCCACTTAACTGGCTAAAAAATAGATAAAGTACAGACTGATTGACTTGGCGGTGTATGTGTGGATTTTTTTTTCTTTTTTCAAACTGTCCAATCATGTATGGACACGTGTTCATTATATTTTTGAGCATGTTCTTGAGCCTGTTTGTGTAGCATAATTGTCATATATTCATGTTTGTCAAGTTGAATAAATGGATGCTATGTCGAGCCATTGACTTTTGAGTCAAGCTTCCCTGACTAATTTGGATGTCCAATCGGAATACTTGAGCTCGAGCCGTGCTTCATGTCAAGGATCCATGTGGCACTGGACGTTTATCATTTTTCTTTTACCATACACATTTTTTGAACAACTAAAAATCTAATTATGGTTCTTCAAAGCGATGAGAACAGTAATGTTATCATTGATTATGATTATTTGACAATTCAAATATAGTCGATATAGTTGAAGCGCGTTCAAAATATGATTTTTGGTGCCAATTTATAGGGTTTAGTAATCTTACAAAAATAAATTGACTTAAAAATCGGATCTCAAACGTACATTCATATTCCGATGCCAAATGTAGAAAGGCAAGTCCGCTAGTATGTTTGGCTAACTCAAAGTTATTTTTCAATAATATTTTATTTTCAAACATATTTAATATACCTTTTTTTTAAAATAATAATTCATACTTTACAGACGAAACATTTTATTAATAGGTTAATTAGGTGAATGGTTATTGACATTTTGAGTAATTACACTAATTATTATTAAAATTATTTTTTTATGGTAATGTTACTTAAGTTTCTAAAGATTACACTAGTGATCACTTGATTAAAAATATTGACGTTAAACCCTATGTGCCGTCGTGTCACCAAACAATATTATTTATTACGCCACGTCACCAAATTATTGTTTGTTGGATAAAATAATTGTAAAGTGCAGAAAAAACTTATCAATAGATCGATTCACGTGACAGCACGATGTCCTAAAGCGAAATTGCCCGTCGATAACTGCTGCGTCCT